GGGACCTGGCACCTGAGGGTGCTTTTGGCCTCGTTGCAACGTTGAGATGTAGTGGTGCCCAGATAAACCGCCCTGGTTTATAGTATCTGCAGTATAATGATTCCCACTGTTCTCTTCTGCCTTCCTTCCAGTCATGAGGCCAAAGCCGACGAGATGGACAGTACCCTGCCAGCAGTAGCAGAAGAGCTTCTGAAAGAGATCAAAAAGGCTTTTAAGGAGACCTCACACGGTAGGTAAAGAAAAACCAGAACCATCCTGGCAGGCGGTGGGGCCAGTCATAACCTCCAGCGAGAAGTGGGGTTTGTTGGCATCCTCTGGTTTCCATCTCCAGCCTAACGGGTGGCCTTCACCTTCAGGAGCAGCAGGTTGTATCAGGTGTTTCCAGCTGTCCCTGTGTGCACACAACACAAGGGGGTTTGAAGCACAGGTAATGAGGAGCAGCCCCCTTCTCAAAGTCAGGCCTTTTTGGAAATCAGACCAGTTTGGACACGTTTTTGATTGTGGGACCTACGGTCAAGACCCTGCTTGCTTAGAGTTTGTAGTGCAAGTGGTTGCATTCAAGGGATAATGCTTTCCACATTTCTAGGCAGGCATTTTGTTGTGCCTATTGTCCTGCTGTTTTTATAGACTCACTGATTTCAAAGCGAGAGTTGGAAGGGAAATCTTCATAGAAACGATGATGTTTCATGACTGACCGGCAGAGGGGGCGGTGTTAGTGAGCCAGGGCGAAGAACAACTTCGGTTGCTTGAATGAAGCAAGCATAAGCCAGCAGTTAGATCTTGGCCAGTTCTGACAGGTAGATAAGAACAATTACCTTCATTGCACTTCGGATTATTAAAGTGCTTCTGTAATCTGTGCTGAAAGAATATTACTGTTTGTGTTTGCATGATAAGTAGCGTAGAGTGGTTCTTCCTAAGGAAAGGAGTGTTTTTAACCACAATAAACCCAAGCAAATAAGCATTCAGAGAGGTCTGAGCACTACATCTGAGTGGGGAATGAGCAGAGATTTATTGTCTAAACTGGCAGAGTGACCATGTTGAGAGCTTTTTGGAATGCTTGCAGTATGGCTCCTGTCAGGTTAGAGTAGATCCAAAATCTATATGTCAATTGTTAAAAGAGCCATATAAATCCTGTTGTAAACTAGGGGGGAAAAAAATAGTCAACATTCCTTAAAGGTGTGCTTCTCCTTAAAGCTCCAGAATAGTGCTAAGACGTGCACTGAGACATAACTGCAGAAACAAACTGATCAATCATTTTGGAGAATTAAATTAGAATAAGTTAGAATAAATTAGAAAAGTTGGCAAAATCAAACTAAAAGCTTAAATCATAGAGAATACCTTTAGTTGTTGGAACAAAGGATATTAGAGTCAAAAGTCCTGATCTTCTACTGGAATACAGAGACACAGTACGCTGCATCTCATTAATGAGAACAGAAAGATCAGATTGAATGATCAGAGCCTGAACTGTTAGCTACAACAAATAAATTTTCCTAAGTGTAACTTTCCATCTTAACAAGAAGTTCCAATAAGTGAAGACACTATGTTTCTGTAGCTGTATTAAAAGCTATAAACCAGTGGCGCCCTGCAAGACTGTGCTGGGAAAAGAACAACATTTTTAAAGATTTGATGCCAGAGTTCTCAACTCATGCCAAGAGAGTTTCAGGGAAACTAATATATATATTTTTAACCAACTTCTTAAAGTGGCAGAGTAAGATGTTGAGGCCTGATGCCTTTTCTTGAATGCTTTTAAAAGTAGAATATTAGAAAAGTAGGTAGATTTGGGATTCTGCTTTTCTTTTGAAAAATAATCCCTCTGGTTCTGATTGCTGTACTTGATAAGTGCTTTAATACTATCGTAGCTGATCATTTTGCTGCTCCTTGTTGCTTTTTGATGGCTGGAGAGGATGGCTAGAGCACTACAGTCCTGTGTGGCTTGAGGGATGCATTAGGGGGACACCAGCCTGCCTGTGATATCCGTGTCTCTCACAGGGGGAAGTTCAGCAAAATCATACTTCATTTTCTTTTTGTTGCAGTCCCTGATGACCTGCTGCTGGGGTGAGTATCCTTTGCTTCAGCTCTTGTCCCGAGTGTCCTGCTAAAGGGCAGTTGATAATCTGCTCTCATAGTACCACTATTTTTCTCCCGTGTTGACCAGTACGTGTTTCTCATGCAGAGTTGCTACGTGGTAGTGGAAATGAAGGTCCAAAGAGACAATCTTAAGGGTTTTTCCAGAGATTCATGAAATCCTCTGTATTGCTGAATCTCCTTTAATGACTTGCGCTAATTTGGGTGGATTAAACATGCAGAAACCCAGAATGTTTAACCTGAGCTCTGAGTCCACCCTCACATCTGGGATGAGTTTTCTGTGAGAGTGGACTGTGTTTCAGAGTGATTCATGCCACTGGACTGCTGCATCTCCACTGTGTTCATATCACTGTGTGCACAGCAACATCCTGAGATCCCTTCTTCCATCTGAGTCATGGGCATGTGTGATAGAAAGGGAGAAGTGAACGTATCATCTCTCTCCACAAGGGAATTGTTACCTGAAGATTACCCTTAGAGTTTTCTTCTGTTTAGAAGAGGTTTCAGGTCAGCTTCGTCACCCTGATGTTGATTGAAACTTGGGAATATTTCAGTCATTTCCAAGTGGTCTCCTAAGAGAACCAAGGTTCACAACTTCTGTAGACCCTCACTAATTGGTGGTGAAGGTAGAGAAAAGGCACTATCACAGTAAGAAAGGCTTTTCAGATTCATCTTTAAGTTTGTGTACCTGGCTGCCTGTAATTGAGCCAGGAGAGATCACTAAGAACCCTTCAGGCCTTACTATCTTTGAGTCTAAAGTTATCTAACATAACACTTGTGAAAGGTATGCATGCTGGCTTCCTCTTCTGGGACCACAATGGCCTTTGAAAGGTAGGATTATATTTGACAACTCTCTTTACTTTTTGTTTTCTTCTTGTCATGGAAGAAAAGAGAAGGAAAGAAATTCCCTTGTTAAGTTTAATAACGGTCGGGTGGTAACTCCTGGCAGTCAGATTTCCATCCCCCATGACCAGCAGCTCACAAGTAATTCTGATTTAACTTCTGAATCTTTTCCAAATCTCTGAAGTCTTTGAATTTCCTTTGGGCATTCCCTTGTTTATTTCCTGTTAGACTGATTGAATTATATACATGGAAAAAGAATTCCCTAAATTTGAAAGAGTTACTGAAACTCATTAAACTCAGCCCCCTTATAGTCCCAAACCTAATCATTAAGGAATGTCTTATGTTGAGTGTTCCCCCACCCACCTCTTCTCAGTCCTCAGATGAAGCCAATCCTTATTGCCTTGATTTTGTGCAACTGAAGTTTTGGTCTTCCTGGAATGTCTGTCTGCTTGGCTTGTTATCAATGAGATTGACTCAGACACATAGGTCAGCCATGCTGCTGAGACGCCAGGGCTCTGCCTTGACTCTTTGTGTCTTCACTGGAGTTGGAAACGTTCCTCTGCTTTCTCTTGTTCTCCTGCTTATGTTTTGTGCTATCTTTTCATCACTGCTGATTTTCTTGTTGTTTACCCTTGAAACTAATCTCAACTACACAGATTTTTCTCAGCGGATAAAAGGTCTGTAAAGTTAACTGAGTTGCCCCTGAGCTCTTTGGGACACATTCAGAGCAGCTGGATATACAAGTCTAGAATAACTTTTAAGTTTATGAGCTGTCTGGACAATAGACTACAGGTACCAATGTCCATATTTGACATAGAACTTATCATATACCTTTGCAACAGACCAGCAGGATATAAAAACCTCCTTGTCAGGATGTGCAGCACCAAGGCTGAGGAGAGAATTGTGTAAAGGCAATGTTTTGCAGGAAGCAAATGTGTACCTGAGCAAACCTTGTCTTTACTCCACCCCACGCACTCTCTGATCCATGAAGCCTGTGCAGTAGTGCATCCTTGCATGGTGATGAGTCCTGATTGGAAGGAAAGGAAAGGAAAAGGAAAGGGGATTTAGGGAGGGTGTGGTGACGTAAAGGATGTGCTGTTCCTGGTTTTATCTGGAATAAATTTGCTGTCTCTGAGCCCTGCTGGTGGCTGGATTACAGATGTAAAACTACCACTATCCAGTCACTCCATGTGCAGTGGAGTATCTTAAGTATTTCCCTGATGGTCTTTAGCTTTCTATTGATGCAGTTTGGTGGGTAGAGAAAGAATAATTTAGACGTTAGTTGTGATAGAGGAGACACAATCACTACAAAATGATTCATTTGTTCCCTGGGGTCTAAACCAATTTCCCTGGGATGAGGAAAGAGCCCTGCTGCTGCATTTCCTGTTGCTCAAGGAGCTACGTATCAGCCTTGCTCTGCCCTTGCTCTGAAGCATGATGTGTGGGCTGTGGCTGGAGGTGGGATTCAAGACCAACTGATCAATAATCTGACCCAGAGCAACTCATCCAGGACAGCCTGTGGGTACAATTAAGGCGTCCCAGAGCATGAGCCCCTTTTGCCCTTAGAATTAGCTAGTCTGGCTTCATGTGCTCTTGTTTACCTGATGCTGCCCCCACTAAAACCACTGTTTATGCTCATTGTCCTCATGTGACATTTTCACAGTTTACTGCAACAGGGATAACTGGGCTGGGTGTGTGACACTGCCTGTTGTCTGTAATCCCCAGCACTGTGCATCTCCCAGGATTTCCTTCCTGCATCTTCTCTTTGCCAGCTTGTCTTGCTTTTGCTGCCAGAGGTAGAGTTTCCCTTGAAGAAGACCTGGTGTATTTAGGGTGCTGGGCAGAAGCAGAGTTTCCAGTTTTAGAGTCTAGATTCACTGTTTGATAAATTGGTTAAGTGCCAGTGCTCTGTCTGCACAGAATTTGCATCGGAAGAACTACAGGAATACTAACAAAAAGGCTGCTCAGATCACTGTAAGGACAACCTGTGGCTCTTATTTCACCTACCCTCCCTTTGCAATAATGAGTGATCTCTAAAGTGACTGTCAAGCCAGAAATGCTGCTCAAAGATAACTCCTCATCTACATGGGTAACGCTGTGTCACAGTCATAGAGACTGACTAAAGACTCACTTCTGTGTCTCTGGTGCACTTTCTCCCATTTTAGTTCAGGACAGGAACCACTTCATGTCCTGTTTGTGCAGCAGACAGCCAGAATAGTGTTTGGGGCATAGTGCTGAAGGAGGAACACACAAGCTGTAATGTCCTCTGTAAGAAAAATCTTTAAAATGTCATGTAATTAAATCTGAGTGGGATTTTGCAAAGAAATGTGGGACTGTTTAGGAGCTGCTTGGAAATTTGGAAGTTATCTTAAGAATATCAAAACCCAGGTCTGAATAGCCCACAGGATAGAGGCTGTCCTTAAGGACTGAGTCCTGGGATTTTCTCAGAGGGACAGGGCAGGGATTAATGGTCACTTACTGAAAGGCAGCAGAGCTGAGAATGACAAGTGCACTTCATTGCTTGGTAATCAATGTAGCTGTAACTGGTGGGGTTTTAAGGGGCGCTGGGAACCTTTGGCTCCAGGCTTTCTGGACTCCATAGGGCTAAATCCTATGGTAAAACTAAGCCAAGTGATCTCCTTTTGTGGTGTGACCTAACTAGAGACACTTTCTCTTTCAGGCTGAAGTTCATATTTGGCCCATGTGCTGTCCCAGCTTTGGATCTGGTGGATCAGCGTTCTGTCACCAGAGTCACATCCCCCAGTGGAAGGACTGCATACCAGGTACATGCTCCTCGTCAGTCTCACTTTCTGATGGTTTCCAGTTGACATATGAGCCAATATTTTGCTAACTTGCAGTACGTGGAAGGGCACTTGGGTAAACTCAGAGAGAATGTCAGTGTTTTACAAACTCCTGAAGTGATACTGGAAAGCTTAGCCATGAATTGGAACAGCCTGGTACATTACCATTTTCTTTGTGGTTCCCAGCTAGTCAAAGACAATTTTTTACATGTTTGTGGGTTTCATGGTCAGAGGAAGTTTTCCAGGGATTGCTAATTTTGCTTTATTACTTCCATCCTATCCAGCAAAGGCAGTTCCTCCTCTTGACAAACTGTGCAATGGAGTGTTATCTGCCATCACTGCATTTCTTTCCCTGTTGCACTCCAGATCCTCAGTGTCCTGAACACTCTCGACCTCTACTTGGCAGCAGGATCCTTGCTGCCTTGGAGGAAGCAGTGCAGGCCAAATCCGTGGGTTTCATACTAGTTCACTGTAGCCAAGTCTGTGAATCACAGAAACAGCTTCATAAAATGACATTTTAGGGAGAAGAGCTCACCTTAGCCCTAAAGATCAAGCTTCTTACAGCACAGGATTGGAGATGGAGCTGAGGCTCATTAGGTGAGAAGCCGTTGGCACTTCTTTCTGACTTTCCTGTTGTATGCACAATTTCTTGCTCTACTGTGCCTCAGCAGCAACGAGCAGCCACAGCGGGTCACAGAGTCAGAGAGATACTGTGTGCTGTGCCCTAGATAAAGCAGTGGGATCCTGTGCCTATAAGATTTTGGTGAAGAAGCACCCAATTCCTTCTATTTAGCACTACTAACCCCCTCAGACAACACAACCTCCTCCACTACTCAGCCTGGTGCTGTGCTTTTTCACACACCAGTGATCTCTTTGCTCAGTGTTGTAGCAGCCAAGAAGAATATTTCCAAATATCCTCCCTGCAAAGGGCTTTCTCTCCTTCCCTGGAGGTGCTGAGATGCTTTGGGATCATCTAGGGTAAGAGAAGAGCTGTGAAGCCAGGCCTGGGTAATGACAAACATTTTTCACATGTTCAGAGCTTGCATTGCTTGATTTGTACATGGAGCCTTTATCACTTCTGGGGCTTTGGAGAGGACATTGGCCCCTCCAGAGAGGCATGATTCATAAACATACAGGGCCCAAGAACACAGCCTTTGATTTTAGTTGAGGTCTTGCCTGTGGGCGTTTGGTAAAGCCTAAGAAACTCTGCTTCCAGGATGCTTAGACAGCAGTTGCCTCATAATTCAAAGCTTAAAGGCCTTTCCTTTTTTACTGTTGCTCAGCTGAATACGCCAGTAGGCAGAGAAGAGTCACATTCTCCTCACAGAGCTTTGCAGGCTGGGATGCACAACCTTCACTTAGCACTCTTCTGTGTGAATGATGACAGGGAATGCTTAGAGCCTCTGGTCTTTCCAGGGAGCCTAAATATGTGTTCACATGCTTACAGCATTTTGCAGCATGGCAAAGTTATCTGCATCTAATATGAGGTGAAAGAGAGGCCTCATATGCATCTCTTAGATGTAGAAGCCTCATGAAACATGGAGGATTTTGGAGAAGCATGGCAAAAGAGCTTTGATGTGCTGGCTGCTGCCTTGACACCTTGTTCTGGGCAGGGCAGGGTCATTGCTGAACAGTGATGCCTCAAACTACACGTGCTCCAGCAGAGAAGGAACCCCTGGACAGGTAGGTCAGGGCTGATCACCAGGAGTTATTGTAGGACAAGCTCAGCCTTGAATGGACTTTGTAGCTGATGGGTTTGATGTGAGCAGCCCCCCTGCGTCACCCAAGGTCTCTGCCTGTCTCCTCCCAGCTGACAGGCAGCCTACAGGAAGCAGTCCCTGCCTGCAGGTGCACAAGTGCTTCTGAGCAGCATTCCTCTTCAGTGGAGCTTGATTTCTGATTAAGACTCTGCTGATGAGTTCATTAACAGAGGAATCTGAAGAGATATTTTCTCTGGGGGTGTCAGGCTGGTCCCATTGCGAAATTCTTCCCCAGCACAGCTGTCTGAGATGCAGAAACAAAGAGCAAAGCCTCCCCTGAGGCCACTGGCTGGAGCAGTGACAGGAACACAATCTGGGGCTCTAGAAACTGAAACACTGAGTGGGATGCTGCACTGCAGAGTAGCTGGGTAATGTCCTTGGGTCTTCATTATGTGCGTGTGTGGTGCAGACATGCATCCCAGCTCTGTGCACTTCTTCCTCTGCAAGGAAGCATGGCCAGTGTAGTGGGGAGAGGAGGGGCACATGCACTGCCTGGACACATGCACAGTCATCCCTTTCACTCATTCCCCAGAAAGTGTTTGCAAATCTGCTGTTTGCACCCAGATGTGGTTGAGCTGGAATGTGAGGTGGTCCTTTCACTTGTAGCTGGACCTGGAGGACTCTTCTTGTTGGTCCAGTGTAGGCAGCTCTTGCCCTCAGGAACTGAGATGGGAGAGGAAGGAGCCCTCAGTCAAACGAAACCTATGATTTGTCATTTAATGCCTGGGCATTAATGCCTTTGCTACGTAATAGAGTAGCACTGATGGGGTATTCAAGTGCTGGTGTTACCTCAGAGTTGTTAATCATCCCAGAAGGGCTTGTATAACACCTGCCTATGCTGCAGACTAAAGCCAACCCTAGGAACTCTGGGTTGGGATAAATAATTCTTACCTGCTGCAGAGATGGTGGATGTGGCTGATGGTGGAGCTGTCAAGTGGTGAGCAAGGCAGCAGCTGGGCACCTATTAGCTATGCTTGCGTTGCAGAAGTGCTGTGACCTGTGAGAATGAAGCCAGTTAGCAGGGGAAGAGGCAGCACTTTAGCCCTCCTGCCAAGTGTCACTTGCACTGCTCACATCCTGCACTTTTATTGGGTTCTTCTGTTTTATGTCTTTTAAAATTGATTTCCTAGAGCTGTGTGGCAGCCTGCCCCACCGTGAAGGGTTTCAGCCCCAGCTCCTGGCACAGACTGTGGTGCTGCCTAGCTCTATGTACCTAGCAACTGGTGTCACAGTTGGCTTCCTGCATCCCCACACACTGGGAGGGACACCACCACCAAGGTGACTTTTCCTTGCTGTACAGCCAGCAAGTGCCAGGCTTGGAAGAAGGGAAGAGGAAGGAAATCTCACAGCATCTCAGGTCCAAGAGAGCATCCCAGTGTCTGGCTTAGCTGCAGCTGGCCAGAAACAGAGGCACCTTTTTCTCTTGGTCTTTGGATTTTAGATACTGCCTCATTACACAGAAGCTGCATTCTTGCCATCTAGGTCAGGATGGGGGAACGCTAAACTCAGCCCAAATCTGGCAGTGTCTGTGTCTTGCCCCACCTCCTCAAAGCAAAACACTTCTGAAGGGAAGGCACCATTGGAATCCTTCATCTTGGAAAAAACAATCAAAGGGGCTAGAGAAAAACAAACTTATCACAAGTGAAACAAACTCAGCCTGGAGTATAAGGAGGGTGCAGGGTAAAGGCCAGGCTGAAAACAAAATGGTTTACTCTGAAATGGGAATGTGAGTCTTGTGTCCTGATTTTGCTGGAAGTAAGGGGGATTTTGAGACATAAGTGCTGTTTGAACTTGTGAATGTTACCTGTCAGGCAAGGAGTACAGAGAGAGCTCCTGGGGACAGGGGAAGGCACCCCTTGCAAATGCAGCTCTGGACCAGGGTGGATGATGTTCCTCTGGAAGGACTTAGTAGTGCCAGAGGTGTCCTGGAGGGGAGCAGCACCCTGCAGAGCTCCTCTGTCTTTTCACTTCTTTGTGTTTCTCTTTGGATTTAGGTGTATGTGCACCATAAACCCTACCAGAATCTAAAGCCTGGTATGAGAGAGGACTGTGTTGTGCCACCAGAGTCCAGGGTTTCTGTGCAGAGGAGGGCACTGCTGGTGATTATACCCATGTAAATCCCCATCATTTTCTGGAATATCCAGGAAGAGTTAGTGCCAGCTGTCAAGGCCACAGAGCAGACATAAAGCACTTGCTGTGGCAGATAAGAGACACATCATGGCAAATACTCTGTGGTAATTGTGTCTAGCCATGGAGTGGACAGTTTAGGCCTCAGAACATTAGTGAAGTCCATGCTGTTGAGTGCAAGTTTCTGCTTGAAAAGTCTGTGTGTTCTGCTCCTGCAGACCTTTCCCTTGCAATAGGAGTGGGGAGCAGTCAGCTCTTAAAGTAGCTTTCTACAAGCTGTTTCCCAGTCTTGAAGAAACCAAAAGAGAAATAATCCATAGGCTGGCTTTCATGTACCATGCAGTCAGCTCCAGCACCTCACAGATTGTCTGTCTGCTTCTCCATGCTGGAAACAAATGCTTCCCACACCTAGTATCCCTCATCCCATCCCCATGGTGCAGAGGGAATATGCCTCAGTACCAGCCTCACAGAGGAACGGCATGTGGGAAAAGGAGGCAGTGCTGTTCCCAAACTAGAGATGGAGCAGAGAGGCTTCTTCTCTGGAGACTTCAACTGTTTATTCAGACAAAACTGGATTCCAATAGCTACAGCTGGGTCTGGGAGCAGAACAAGAGCTTTTGCAGCCTTCAGCCACCGGAGGCAGTTAGAAAAGGCTTCGCTGCAAGTGCTCGCTGCTGCTCTCCTTCCACCCCCAGGCCTGTGGTGGATTCACAAATGGGTTTTCTGTGAGAAGAGACTTCATCACGATCATCTATCCTGTGTCTGCCAGTACACGGGGAGGGAGCTCGCTGGAGGGGCTGGTGGCTCGCTGTGCTGCGGGAGGTCAAGGGAGGGGGCTCTGTGCTCGGTGCCACTGCCCTTTTCCTGATCTCTTAGCAGCAGGGAAGTGACTAGAGCTGAGCTCTGCTGCAAGTCAGGAGCATTCCTCGCCTGCAGGCAGAGAGGTGTGGGAGAGAAAGCTGAGGAGCTTCAAGCTTAGATGGGTTGTGTTGAGACAACTTTCGTGTTGTGACACCCACTTGCCAGCTGTTTGCAATGAGTCATTGTGGAGGGGACACCAGGCCAGACACAGGCTAAGAGCTGGGGAAATTAGAAGTGGATGCTGCCTCTGACTTCACCCCCTCCATCTGCCTTTGTTTCAGGTTCTGGGGAGCTCGGGGAAACTCTACACCTGCTACAGTTCCTGCCACTACTGCACATGTCCTGCTTTTGGGTTTACTGTACTGCAGAAGAGCGAGAGCCTTCTGGTAAGTTGTCTGCCTTAACTTGGGGCCAGGACAGGGAGCAGGGGAGAAGCTGTGCTCTGCTCATTGAGCCTGAGCAGCCTGAAGTTTCCAAGGATAAATGCATGAGTGTTGAGTTGGCCATGCAGGCTCTACCTGACCCACTGCATCATCTGCCCGCTGGGAGTCGTGGTCTTTGGGTGGAGCTCAGCCTTACAAGGGCTAGAGAGGGCTTTTGTTCTTACTTAGGCATTACTTTTCTGACTTTCAAGAGATGAATAATCCCTGCTCTCTTGGAACAAGGGCTACTGCTGCTAATGGGACTGCCACATGGGCTGTGGCTGATGAAGTGGTGCCAGTGAGGAAGGGCTCAGGGTAACCAATTGGCCTGCAATTGTGGGGAGTGCATCAGAGGCCAGTAACACTTTGTTGTGTGTCAGATCCCTGAATTACATTATCGTCATGGCAGAACTGACCAGGGCCAACTGGAGCACCAGCCTGTGCCAGGGCTTGATGTGCCAAGAGAGAGCCATGTTCCTAGGAGGGGTGAGCTCTTCATTAAACCAGGATGGATTCTTGTAGCTTCCAGATAGAGCACTGACATTCCTGTGTGGCTCCTGCTGTTAACTTGGCTGTGCTGTTATTTGCAGTGCAAACATATACTTGCTGTCTACCTCAGTCGGGCCATCGGAGCCTGCCAGGAACTAACTGTGTCTGAGGAGCAGCTCACAAACATCTTACTGGCTGATGAAGAGGATGAAGGATGAAGGATTTGCAGCACATATGGATATGCTTTCTGTGTACCCTTCCAGCTGTGTAGCTGGCATTTTTTGTATCTACAAGGCTGTCAAATGTTCATCATGGCTGGTAGGTTTCTTCCTGTGCTGCAGCCAAGTGTGACATTAATTAGCAGCCTTGAACTGATAGATTAATTAATAAATGTTAAGAAGCCCATGTTGACTTCAACTTCATTTCTTTAGACTATTCTTGGGGTTTCTGAAGATGGTTGAACTAATCTGTAATATTATATGCTTGTGATGTGGAAATACAAACAGTTCAGCGGGTCTCTTTGTGATCCATTAAACCTCATTAACTCTGCTTGTGCTTTGCCTAACCCCAGTGTGCAGTGCCAGTGAGGACAGAGCCACACTGCAGCTGCAATTTCTGATTAATCACTGCCAAACCTGTACCAGGGACTAGGGCAGGGACCCTTCAGCACTTTGAGACTGGTGTTTCCACTGTACTTACTGTGCTGCAGGACCTTTGGAAGCATCACCCTGGTTGCTGTGCTTTTCAATCAACCCATTTCAGACAAGTTGAGCACCTCATGCTGGCAGGCGAGGCAAGGCTGGTCACACCAGGCATGGGGGAAAGGAGACTGCTGCTCCCCTGTTCTGCACAGCAGCCAGTGCTCTGGGAACCAGCTTCTTCCACCTCTGTGCATCCCTGCCCATGCTCCGAGATTGGGCCTCTCCAGTACAGGGTGGCCTCGTATGACACATGTGTGAACGCAACACAACAAGAAATGATGGGGCAGAGGCTGAGCCAGGTTTTGTAGGTGGTAAATTAAGCATTCTGTATGTAAATAACAGTTACTGCAAATACAAAATCTGAGCAACACGAGGAGAACACATCATCCTATGTACATCAGAGCAGTAAGGAGCGATAGCTGAACAGCTACAGCGGCACTCGCTGCAGAAATTCCTCTGCCATTTTAACTTCACATTTTTATAGATACCTTCAGGGGTTTTTTTTGGAGGGGACAAGGGAGGTGTCCTATTTTTATTTTGCCTTGAAATGTCTTTGGCTCAGATCCACAAAGGCACTTAATGTGCCTAAAGCCCATAGTGACCCGGGCCATAGTTACTAATGGCTAACAACCCAGTGGCAAGATCATACTAAGGCTGCACCACAAGTGTCTTCAGGAATTCTGGCTCATAAGAGGGGTAGAAAAGGTAGCAGTGATGGCTGCTGAGCTGCAGTGCAAGCTGTCACATACAAAAGGAGTTCTGGGACATCTCTTTCCGTGTTGCAGTGCTGTGTGTTTCAGTCTGTCTACGCTGTCCAGAGCTTTTTTCATTTTCAGCCAGCAGGAAGGGAGAGATCACATTCTTTGTTGTAAGGATAAATGTGGCTTGCAACTGCTTTGCAACACTGCCAGACCTGCAGGTGAAACCTTGCTTGTTTCCAGCCACGATTAACAGAAGGAACCCAGCCAAAGATCATACAGAAGGGAAGGACTGAAAGGAGGAGAGAGTCAAACCCTGCCCAAATGGCAAGAGGTGGCTACATGTGTTAGCTGGACTATGACCAAGACAGATGCAGCAAAGATGAATGGGGCTGTTAAAGGAGAAACACTTGGGACACTAACTTTAACTATTCAGCTGCTTCTTGGAAATGCCAGTATCTGAGATACTGAGCTGTAGCTAAATTTGGACATTGCATAAACACGTACAAAACCCATTCATTGCCTACTGGTAATTCACCCACATTTGGGGCTGACGCTTACAGCTGAGCTGCAACACGCACAGCAGTGAAATCCATCACTCCCGGTTAGCTGTTCCCTCGCTGCATGGTGGGCCCAAGCCACACCTGCAGGGCTGCCTGGTCACGCCAGCTGGTACAGCAGATGCTGCAGGAAAAGGAGTTCTTCACATCAGCTTTTCAGCTGATTTTACACCGCATTTATCATTATATACATCAGAGAAATGAAACTCTTGGGGTCTTCTATTACTCCCCTTTTAGTGCAATGCAGTTTAAAAAAAAATAGAAAGCTGATTTCTATATGATTCAAGTACAATTTATCAGGGACAAACTGCTCCAGACGTCACAGTCTGTCCACTGGACTTGTTCTTCAGGAGCTGGCTGTGTTTAAACTTCCTTCTCTGCTTGAAAAGTCCGGCTCCCTCTCTCTGTCTGCCTGCATGAGTTACCACTGAAAACCCCATTTCATACACACCCTTGCACTTCTCACTGGTCGCACGATGAGGCTGCTGGAGAGAGACAGGTCGACTTTACCACGGAGGGACCTTCAGGCAAGACTCCTGTTTATAAAACAAAGGCCATGCCAGAAACATTTGCAGCAGCACACGTGCCATTGTGCAGTCTGCAGGAGCTTGTACTTCAGAATGAATGTGCTGTTCTACCTTTGTCTAGTTCTACATATCATGGTTACATATTAAATCACTGAGCTGTGGTTGCAGAGAGTTATTAACCTGCAGTACCAATTTACACTGGTGAGTGGGCTTTGTACTTAGGTCAAGCCAGGACTCCTGGCTGGCTGCAGAGGCTGCAAGGTGAGCTTCAGCCCCAAAGAGCTTGGTCAAAATCAGGTCACAAGTAAAGGCATTCTAACTTCTGAAATGAATTAGCTCCTCTACAGTCTCTTTCGCTACCAACGCAGGTCAGGATTAAAAAGCAGAATACAAAAATAAAAATCATCTTTAGAAAGCAAAGCACTCACAGATTCTGGGGGTTACTGGGCTGCAGAGAAGCCCCAGTAAGACCAAGTTTTAGGAATCGGGTGAGCTGCAGCATCCAGCTATCGCAGTTAAACCCAGCACTTCTGGAAGCACTGCAAGGCTGTGAAGGTTTGACTTTGGAGCAAAAACCTCCCTGCAGAGATAGTGTCACCAAAGCAGGGTTTGCACTAACCTCTGCCTGGAGCAGACTAGCCGAGCCTTAGGGCATACCTGCCTTTTGCATTTTCCTAGCTGGAAACAGATTTGAAAGCAAACCTGAAGCACTGGGCTGCACAGTCCCATAGGCCAAAGGGATTTAAAGGCAATAAAACCACTGAGCTAAAACTTCAGTCAACCCGTTCCTAAAATTCTTCTCTTTCAGTAAGTAGGGCTTCCACACTGGGGCCAGCAATAGCTGGCCAATTCTGAGCTGTTTTCCCATCAACATGGTCACGTCCCTCAGAGCCTGGAACGCAGATTCAGTTTCACACCAGCAACTGGGCTAAGTAAGACTTTTTCCCATCGGAGAATACTAGCTGCATCAAACAATTGATGGAATAATTAGGGTATTACCAAAGTGCTGTCAAGTATGGACTTAAAGAACAACTCCAAAACCAGACACAAAATTATTACTCCTAAATGAATCAAAAGATTAAAAAAAACCCCTAGTAATAATAATTAAAATAGGACTTGACACGAGCAGCACAACTGGGGAAAACACCCCCAGCAAGTGGGTCTTCCACAGTCAATGTCTGACCTGGAATGGAAACACAACACGGTCACCAGCACTCACACAACTTGGGTCTCCCCACTCAGGTTATCCCTCCAGGAGGCACTATGTTAATTACAAAAGTAATAATAATAATAACAAAAAATACAGCTGCATAACTGCAGAGTGGTCATCTCTGAGCGCTCCCCCAGGAGCAGGCTGCAACTGTTCACAGAGGCACAGGGGAGGGTAGTGTCAGGGACACTGCAGAATCCCGGGAGCAGGACGTGCAGGGTCATATGGTCACAGAGGCTACGGGACAGTTAATGTTGGTGACAGTCAGGTGCTGGTTGTTGTCAGTGGTGCACTTGGGGAAGTCATCAGTCTTACAGAGGATCTTGGAAAGGATCTTGCGGAAGGTGTAGCGGAAGTCCCTGATCCGGTAGGCATAGATGATGGGGTTGATGACAGAGTTGGCATGGGAGAGGATGATGGCCATATACATCACCCACTCGGGCTTGGATTTGGAGAACTCCTCGTGGAAGAGAGTGATGCAGTTCAAGATATGCAGGGGCAGCCAACAGAAGGCAAAAAGGCCTACAATAATGGCCAGAGACTTGGCTGCATGGACCTCCTTCTGCAGCGTGGTCCTGGAATTGCCCATCAGTTCAATCTGATGCAACTGTTTGCAGGCGACCATGAATATCTTAATGTAGATTCCCAGCATGATAACCAGGGGAAGCAGCACGCAGCCGAAGAAGTTGAAGTACACCATGTAGCTCATCGTTACCACATTCTCAAAGAGGCATGAGATGAAGCAGCCATGGTGCTCTGTCCCGGTGTTGGCCCCTGTCTCGTTGGTGGCGTTGGGACAACCACTCATGGCTTTATTCCAGCCCATAAGTGGAGTCAGTCCAATTCCAAAGGACAGGAGCCACAGCACAGCGATGAGGCCTCTTGCCCGCTTGCCAGTCACCAGACTATTATACCTACAGCATCCAGAACAAAACCAGGACAGAGCCATTATATAAATGAGCACTCACAACTTCCCTGCAGTTAAAGTCATCAACATTTTGGCTGAAGCCGCAAAATCCCCACCCACACCCATGTGGGAACCTCACCTCTGCCATCACCCGAGGGGTGAAAATCTCACCTGTGCTCTACACCAACACAGCGATCAGGGGAGGTGATTTACTTGCTATTCCTGAGAGGCACCAAGCACCGTCCCTGCCCACAAACATCCTTCAATGGGAGGTATGGTCCTGGAGTCTTAAAAAAGGCTTTATCATTGCATGAGCCTAAACCACCAACTGCAAGAAGGGCAAGAACAGGGGGAAGGCTCATTCTGTAACCACCAGCTTACCCTCTTGCTCTAACCAGCCACTAATGGGCATGCTAGGGCATGCTACTGAGCTACATGAACTTCTGGGCTGATCTGTTACAGCTGAGACAATGCTGGCTCTCAATTCTCCCCTGTAATGGGTAGCTAAAGACTTAACCACCCTTACCACAAACTTACAGCCTTTATACCACAGACAACTTGCTTCAACTTGGGCTGCTTGTGTGCCTGCAGCAATGCTGGCTTTCACTGGAGATTGCAGCAGTCCTGAAATGTGATGTCCCTTCCCATGCTACCTCATACACTGAAGTGGGAAGTACACGTGTGTGGAAACCAGGGATTCTGCTAGTTTCCCAGGCAGCACAATTCCTGGCCTATACATGCCAGACTGCAGCCCACGTGAGCTTGTTCTGGGTGGATGACAAATACCCTGAAAGACTTTTCTGAGCCAGCATCTGAAAGCAACTGCTAATGATGGATTGCTTAGGAGAATTGCAAGTGAGAGTTTGTGTCTCTGTTCAGTCTCGCATCCAGACATGGAGCTGTGAGCCAGAGACACTGGGCTTTTCGCCCCCCCCCCCGTTTGATGTCCCTGCTTTGTGCATCCTCCAACAGCACTGATATGGGCAGCTTCACCCAGCTCTGGTGTCAGCCTCCACTGCTCATGTACATGGTATGCCAGTTCTGTAGGACATGCGCTACAGAGGGGTCCTGAAGCACATGCTTTTGGACCTGCAGCTTCTGAAGCCCTTAGTGGGGTTAAATCATACAGCCATCTGTGGTCAAACAATGCCCGAGTTCTGCTGAGCCACCATAACTGCTTGTAAAGATCCAGATTTTAAACCAATGCCTTCCTTGGGCACCTGCTGCTCTCACATGTGCTACAGAGAAGCTCTGCTGTGGCCCAGGGACAGGCTGATGCAGTGCTGAGGGGCACAAAGCCATGTGATGCCTACATCTTTCCTAACCCCACACCGGGTGCCTTCATGGCCAAGAAAACCAAGGTGCCCCTCCAGGCCCCAGGTGCTCGGAGACACAGAGCTGGAACCTAAAGCAGCAAAAGTCAAACTGTTTCGGGTGCACCCAGAGCAGATGCCAACATCAAAGCATCAGTAGGGTCAGTCTTTGGAGATACGAAGAACCAGCGACTCCCAGAAAGACAACATGAGAAACCCATTACTGTCCTCCCCACAGCCCGTTAGCGTCTGCTGGCTGACATGCATGTCCCCTCCTTCCCACACCCTGCTCCCAGCGCTTGTTTACTTTGGCTTCGCTTCCCTGCTCCTCCTTTCCTAAGAACGTTTGTTCTGATTTTCTTCCGGCCCGTGAGGCAGGGGAGGGCTCAATTCCCACAGAACCGCAGCTGTGCCTCTGAACCACGCTGCGGCCACCTCCGTGCGAGCCCCTGTCGCCCTCCTGCTGCGAGCTACACTGACAGGAGGCTAAAGTGGGGGGTCTGCCAGCAAAGAGGGGCAGGGGGGAGCCCTCAGCTCCTTCTGAGTGGCCGCTGTGAATGGGGCTTGCTTTGGGCATGGCCAAGAGGATGCGGGAGCAGCAGCCACATAGAGGCACTGCTAAACTGCGAACTCACTCCAAGGGATAGATGTCTAAAAGGCAGGTGCAGCCACTGAGAGGTTTCTCCTGGACTTTTCTCTCATTCCTACTAAGTCTCGCTGCTCCAGAAGGTGAGAAGTTATCAGACAGGGCACCAGTGGGGCCAAGCCCATTGCTTTCAAAACCCCATGGTAAGTTTTAACGAGCCAGAGCTGGTCTGGGGTGGTGGGGCCTGAAAACATTAAGATTTGATTAGGAGCAAGTTCCCAGAAATCCAATCTCTTGGCAAAGTCTGAGTCTTGAGCTCCAGTGTTGGCCAAGCTTAGCCAGTGCTGCAGGAGCACCAAGAGCTGCTGCTGACCTACAGCTCTGCACAGGGGAAGAGGAAAACGTGGCTCCTTGGCTTGTGCTGTTCATATTTAGTTGATCAGTTCCTCCTCTGCCACATCCCCAGAATAGTTGTACTGACACTGGAAAATGCAAAAGGAACCATTGTTCAGAAACAGAAACTGAAGGAGTCAAGAGGTTTGTGTCCCTGGATCGGGCTGCACACAGGAACACAAGGAAAAGCTGGCACAGCGCTGCGCGTCCACCACTGCCTCTTGCTAAGAACATATGACCCCAAATAAGGCTTCTTCCACCCGCTCTTCTGAACTCTTCTGCAAAGATAAGGCCCATCTTGAAGATTTACAAAAGCAGTTAAGAAGTCACTTGATTTTCCAGTGCCTGTGATGGTGACATGTTTGTTTTAGTGTTGCTCGCTCTTCCCTGGTGCACAGCAGAGCTGCCGCCAGCATCACGTTTAAACAGGGGCCCCTTCTGTGAGAAGGAGATGGCAAAATGTGCTGTGCTGCAGGGCTGCAAGAGCCAGAGCTGAGCAATGGAGAGGGCTGACAGCCTGTCAATGAAGAGACGGTCTTCACTGGAGATAGTTAATCACAGTGAATAGCTGCATCCCTTAGATGAGCTCTTTATTTTCATAGGCATGCATCACACAGCTGATCGTGGGTAAGGGTGATGGTTGCTGCTGTAACTACAGAAAGGGGCTGTGCAAACAGCTGGGTGCTGAGCTACCAGCCAGAAGGGGCCAAGGTGAAACTGGGAATAGCCTGATGTTCTCAAATTGTTCATGAATTACCTTGTCATAACCTTAATACATTGATTTGGTGGGACACTGCCTGTACTGCCCTTAAGGGAAGGTAAGCACGTGCTTAGAGATAAAGTGCATGGTTGTCACCAGATCATGGTACAAAGAGTCTTGCTGGGAGCAGCAAGGGTTGCAGCACACCACATGACAGAGCAACTCCTTTCATAAACATCCACCAGCAAAAGCAGGCAGGGGCTGTGAGACAGCCGAGCTGGGCCTCAGCCTTTTTCTCAGCACTATAAAACATGATCAGACAGCAAGGAACCAGCAGGTTTTCACAGCTCTTGAGTGCTCCGGCAAACCTCTCCTTCATTCTCTTCTCAGCTTAATACTATTAGGCAAAGAACTATAAAAGTAAATTTACTCACCTACTGTATAACAAATACTGAACCTCCTCTATGTTTCTGCCCAGAGGCATGAAATCTAGCTTCAATGTAAATAACAGCTGAATAGTTAAAAATGATTTATTGAGATGAAATAACTGGCAATGCATCAGTTCCTCTTGCACTGCCAGGCGGTCTCTTTACTGGCATAATCATCACCAAGCAGGTAATTATGCCTGCAGCAGACATGCTGCAGAAGCCCCGATGCCACCCTCCGTGTGCTGCCACCATGGAGTGATTCAGGTTTCTATTCCTCTGACATATCTACCCATACGTTGGCCACCATTGTCCCTGTCGCACAGCCCGGGTTGCAGGAGCTCAGTTACTTTACAGAAAGCTCAGCTGTTCTTACACCATGGCTCTGACCCACCAGTGTTACCATGGCCAAGCACTGGGCTGCTGGGATGTGCCTGTAGAGGCTTCACCCGGGGCACCATGTAGCTCTGTCCTGTCACCAAGCCATGGAGTGAGCAACTGCCCGGCCACTGATGTCCCCTAAGCTGGGGACGGTGTCCCATGGACTGGAGACAGCGCCCTTCACCCGGCAGACATCAGTGTCACAGTGTTTCAGTGGTGGCACAGCAAGGTCCACAGCTTTCCTTGAAGAGCATCATGGCAAACACCAAAAGGACCAAGCTGTCCATTAGCACAGGGTGTGGGAAGTTTCTCTGCACTCTCCAGGCATTGTGACTCTGGCTGGGAGGATGGTCAGGGTTGGGGCTCTTTTCCAACAGGTCTTATGGCATTTCTCCTGCTATTTCCTAGAGCTGGAACCAGCCCAGATACCCAGGCTGGCACTGCTGAGCACAGCTGGAGCAGAGCAGGACACGCCCAAGCTGTCCATTAGCACAGGGTGTGGGAAGTTTCTCTGCACTCTCCAGGCATTGTGACTCTGGCTGGGAGGATGGTCAGGGTTGGGGCTCTTTTCCAACAGGTCTTATGGCATTTCTCCTGCTATTTCCTAGAGCTGGAACCAGCCCAGATACCCAGGCTGGCACTGCTGAGCACAGCTGGAGCAGAGCAGGACACGCTGCCAGCCCACAGCC